CCAACTGCGTTTTTCACTCGGCTGTCCAGAGAATTGCAACCTTGGTCTGATTCCACACCATGCAAAAGCATCATGAATGGTGTTGGACTGAGGGCACTGCTATGTCATCCTCATGGGCTGGTAACAGAAGAGGCAGGCAGCCTGGGGATGCTTCAAAAGGTGTTGCAGAATAGAGTTGTGTGCATACTCAATTCAAGGCCAATGTAAGCTTTAGGTAGATTGCAGATTGTGAGTAGATCGTTTGCATCATCCCCATTACTTTTTGGATGATACTCAAGCTAACTTTAGCATGTAGTGCTTTAAAAATGTCTTCTACACTTGAGAGATAAACTGGGAACCTCTGTCAGAAACAGTGTCACTGGGGAAACTATGGAAGAAGAAAACATGCTGTAGTGAACCGATAAATTAGTTGTCTCTGCAGTGGAGGACAATTTGGGTAGTAGTAAAGTGGGCTGCCTTTGAGAACGTGTCTACAACTCTTTAATAACACTTATGGAGAAGCTGGCAAAACCCAGGATTCACTGATGCTGTTTTCTGGGAGAGGGAATTTAGCCACTGCTCTCATCTTTTCTGGATGTGCTTTCATTTACCCACTCTGAATTATATACCCCAAAAATGAGACTAAGAAGAAATGTGGTAATGGTTCTAGGGTCTATGACTCAGCGTTTATGTATTCTGGGGAGACATCTGGGAAGACTCTTTCCGTCTCCCCAATCAGTCATGTTCCTATATTTGTTTCTCCCCGTCCCAGTGCCAAGCCTGTCTGCCTTTGTCTTTGTCTCCATGGGTATCATACTTTTTGGGTTTTCTTGTCAGTCTCTCATCCTGTGTTCAGTGTGTTGAGTTTTTCGTCCCCTGTCCTTTTAGTCTTTATTTGTTCCAGCTGTGTTCCCTCCTGTTTCCCATCCTGTTGTTATCCTGTGTGTATTTAATAGTCGTACATTCCTAGTTGCAAAATCATAGTTCCTAGCTTATCTTTTGTTTGTTTCTATTAGTGTTTTCATATTTTATTTCGAGTACCATATTGCAGCAAATAAAGCTGCCTCCTTTAGTTCACTCTCTTTGTTTCTGAGTCCTACGTTTGAGTCATTCACCTGCCTGCCACACAGCTTTACATGAAACATGGAGCTTTGACACAGAGCTGGTTTTCTAGGAGCCTCTACAATAGCTTCCTCACATACTGTTGATACCCAGTATGAAAAAGATGAGGATGTCATCAAGGTATATAAACACTGATTCTCAAAAGTCATTTACTGGGGTTTGGAAAACTGCTGGAGTAATGGTTAGTCCAAATGAAATGACTACATATGCAAAGTTTCCTGGGGGTACTGACTGCAGTTTTACATTTATCTTATCAATACATACTAGAAATGATAAGCATTTCTGAGACCCAAATTGGTGAAGATGGTGGCTCCCTGCAAAGGCTATAAGGTTGTACTGTTTGAGGGGAGGGTGTGTTTATTCTTGATTGTGATCTGGTTTAGACTTTTATAGTCAATACATGTTTTGCTTCCACTGGTGAAGAGGATAGCCATAAGATTGCTGCTTCTAAGGACTCCTTAACCTATTTTTCTATAGCGTCTTTCTCTGGCTGTGACAGATTCTATAATTTGGTCGTCAGGATGGGTCACGGTCATAGTGAAAATGTGTCATGTGCAGTGTTGGTCAAGTTACTTGAAAAAAGTAATCAGTAATTAATTACTGATTACTTCCCCAAAAAAGTAATCCCGTTACTTTACTGATTACTTATTTTCATAAGTAATTAATTACTTAGTTACTTAGTTACTTTTTAAAAACACGATTTACAACCTGAAGAGGTGATAAAGCGATAGATCTTTCAGCCCAATTCTACTTTTTCTGCATAATCCATCATACAAAATGTAATCAAATGGAAAAGTCTCTTTTTTAAAACTTGTTTTATCAGTTTTAATCTTTTAACTTTATGCATCAAGCAAAAATTAAATTATATGCAACATTCTCTGACTTGAATAAATTAGTTTAACATTTAAACCTATTTTCTACACATTCCAGCACATAAAATAAAATATTTTTTGTGTTTACGCTCACTCTTTCAAATAGATGCAAGTAAAACACAGCAGAAAATAAATAAAGTCAAAGACTCAGCGGTCCTGTTGCTCTATTTTCACCTGTAAAGCAGGACTGCGGTTACAAGTAACGCGTTACTGCCCATCTCTGGTCATGTGTTGAAAATGAGAGTGTGTTGAGGCACCTAGACCACAGTAAACCTCTGGCAGAGAACAGAGGTCAGGATGGAGAGTGGCTAAGGTCAAATGACAGCTGATATGGCTGACTGAAAGCAAGTGGAAAGACAAAAGTAACACCAACTTGCACGAGAGACTACATTGGAGCTGTTTAGTGGCTAGCTAATCCTTAAATTGTCCATTAAAACTGTTAAAATTATCTCGGAGAGCAAAATTTCACCATTGCGATCCAGTGGTCACATGAAGCTGCAGTAGCATAGCTGAAATAATCAGATATGCTGCCAGAGATTGACATGTCTATGAGCAGTACTCTCCCAGAGTAAAGAGGTCATCAAACTCAGCTAACAAATCATTAATAGGCATGGGTCCTAATGGCTAAATAAACTTTCATGAATAAATGTATCTATTTATTTTTTCTAAAGGCCTTCTCTTTAAAAGACTAACCTGGGGAGAATCTATAGAAAACAAGCAGGGTTGATGACTAAAAGGAAGCAATTGCTGAAGCAATTACCCACTACCAATATAACCTCCCTCAGCCTCAAGCATGGGGGAAGAAGCATCACAGAAGGGAGGTGGGGAATCTTTTTAGGCTTGTAGGGGTTTTAGCTGCGGACTGAGACAAAACTAAAAGTGCTTGGTGAAGCTAGAGATTGGAGGAGAGCTCTGATTACAATAACTTGTTTTGGGATGTGATTTTGTTCCAGCAATGTGCAGATAATCTGTTGACTGAGTATAATCCTTGGTTAATAAGGTAATTTTTTAATTGATGCAAAGCCTGTACCGGAAGCATCAATCTAAAACCACCCTCCCCTTGTACATATTCAAGATCATTGCAGCTGTGTTTGTCCATTCTTCCAACTGGTTCAAACATGACTACCGTGCCTTTGTGGTTCTCCTGTGTCTCATTCGATCATTTTGTCATAATGAACTCAAAATGGATAGACCTTTATATGTAGTCCACAACTGCAAATCAAATTGTTTATTAACAGAGGCTAATCTGAGCACTGAATAATTGTTGCAGACAACTAATGAGTGGGCTAGAAGGTCAGTGTTCAGCGTCCAGTTCCAGTGAGATTGGGGAATCCACAAAACCTTTTCAGAGAAGCCTTGAAGATCTGGAGCACATACCAAGGGGTTTCTAAAGACAGAAACAACAGATAAGTTACAAGGAATTAAAGAAAGCATGAAACAAGTGAAGCTTGATATTACTGCTACAGCAGTTGAACAACCTGGTAAAGGTGGATGAAAGAAGGTGGTCTTTATATACAAAGGATGAATAATGGAAACCAGGTGTACACTGCCTCCCAGTCTTGATTAACTGCCACACCCCAGAGTGGCAACCTGTTATGCCTTCATGAGCAAGAATAAGGGAGAAAATGTGAGTGAAGGCACAGAGACCATGACACTACTAAAGTAGCTTTTTTTTTCTGTCAGAGAATGTTTAATTTTTCAGATTGAATCTTCAATTGTTCATTTTTTTCCCACCACAGTGCGTGTGTCAATTGTGTGAATAAACAGTTTTCAGCTTCTACACAGTAAAAGTAAATGACTTTAGCCCGGGGACTGTAGTCTAGTGAGGACATTAACAGTGGAAGCTTGATATCATCACCAAAGTGCTCCTGGCCAAGGGCTTCTTTCCTATTTCTTTTTTACGTCCATCTGTTTTTTGAACACAGATCTGACAAACATCATGAGTTCAGTTAATTTAGTCTTTGGCTTGAACACTTTATCCTTTCAGCCTCTCCGTATGGATTGGGAAACCAATCTTTTGAAGTGCCCTTGAGCAAATCTTGTCTGGAAAACTTCCCCTATACTGAAACATGTTTGTTATTTGGTCTTTGGTGTGTATGTGGTGTGTAACTTGTTATACTTCACATCAAAAATTGCTCTTTATTCGATTTAATTTGCCAATATGTCCTTGAGCGAAGCATTGTGCTTATCTTACTCCACCAAACTGTTTAATCACCTTGTATTATTTTCAGCTTCACACAACCTTACCTACTGACCCTTCAATGTACCTGTATTCTCTGAAAGAAAAATACGTTTCTGCTCACTAAAATTAAATTGCTTTTTTTTTTTATCAAAACCTGAAAATGGATGTGTCGCTCTGTAAACATTACATTCTGTTTATTTTAATATGTATTAAACATGTGAAAAAAAAAGACTAAATAAAAAGTTTAATACAATTTTCTATGAAACTTTACTGTGCAATGCTAAAAAAGGAGTGTACTTTTATTCATTGATTAGCAAAAATGGCTGTCTCAACAAGCTTTTCAAGAGCTTACTTGATAACCCTGAAACAGGGAAGTCTAAATACATGGTTATGTTAGTGCTTATTACAAAGTAATCACAAATTCATTGATTTCATGAAATTTCTTAAGAATATAGTAGGGCTCTATCCAAAATTTTCAGTGTACATTAATCATTAAATGAGTAACTGTGAAAGTTCAAATTTTGTGTTCAAGAAGTTGTATTTTATTGAATGTTTTACCTTGTTTACCTACAGAGTACGATGCTCCATACTCACTCAAGAGTAAATATTCAGTTGTTATACAAGAACCTTTATTGCTTTTGATTGAAAAGCTGGTGGATTAAAAAACTGTGTTCACAAAACAGTCACTGAGAAAGTTAAAAAAACAAAAACAAAATCATCTAATGGCAGCTGAAGCATCAACCTAAAATCACCCTGCTCATGTTCATACTACAAATCCTTGCAGGTGCGTGTGTCTATTCTTTCCAGTGCTTCCAGCATGACTAGACTGTGCTAATGGTTCTCAGGTTGGAATCCCCAACTCGGACCCTAACTCTAGAGGCCCCCAGAGGTGTGGAGGTCAGTGCTGGAGTGGGAGATTTTACGGCATCTTGTAGAAAAGACCTCCTCTTGCAGTCCTCAGAAGGAGAGGTGAGTGTGAGCTTACATTGTATTTGTTTATGCATGTGTGTGTTTGCATGTAAAACTGTTTGTGTACATACTGTTATGTTTTACTGTGTTGGGTATCTGTGAGTGTTTGGAAGAGAAATGGAAGTTAGAAGCTAGGGTGGGCGATATATTGAATATACTCAATGTATTGTGGACTTTTCCACGTACAGTGGTTAAAATGGCTTTATTGTAATCATCGAGTATAAGTTGCCATGGTTATATTAAGCTGTCTGCAGGTAATTTACTGAGTTTTTTTTATGAGTTTTTTTATGCCAATGCTGCGAATGTATTATTAACCCGTAAAATGTTCACTGCGTTGAACATGGGTGTTTATATACTACCAGACAGGGACAATATGGTGACAGCGGGAGTTTCAGACAAGTGAGGGAATGAGACTCACTGTCGTTTGGATTTTACAAGGAGGATGTTGAACAAAATCCGATAATTTGCAAAATGTGCAGTTAAACTATTCCTGCAAAACGTAGGCGTACCAGAAATGTATTCCACCAGCTGAAAAGTCATCCACTGAAAAATTCAGTCTGTTCACACACCAAAGAAAACATTAAATAAACCAACAGTGATACTTGTGACTGTTCTTGGTCAGTCATTTTTATAACCACTGTCTTGACTTTTGTTTCTGTAATTTGAGGTCATCAAATTTTTTATTTTATTATTTTTATGTGTTGTAAGCTCAAAAGAGCACCTTTTTAATTTCAATTGTTTTATTTTTCCCCGTGAATTCTTGCTTAATGTCCTTTTTTTTCCTTACTATGATCTTTTGTTTGTTAAAGAAAGAGACATACTGTGACAGTATAGTCATTTGTGAAAAACCTTGGTGGGCAATGGATGGTTAAAAAGCGGTTAAAATGAAAGATTTTAATTAATTCAGTTTTTTTGTATTTAAAGTAGAAAAAAAATATTGAACGGTTGATTTGAATGAGTACACAAGTGCAATTTTAGGCACCATGTGGTTGAAAATAACATTGCTTTTTGGAGGTTATTTAAAAAATATCGTGCTAAATATTGTGTCTCGTGATATAGCCAAAAGATATCGTGATATTAGATTTTCCTTATATCGCCTGTTAAGATTCAATATTGAGGAAGGGTACAAGAGGTGATCGAAGAATAACCACACCGATCCGGCCGGGTGAAGTCAAACGATGATTTTAATGAATACACGCGTGGGAGGACACTCTGTACGCAGACAGCCAGTAGTCCTCGACTTAATCAAAGCATGAACAGATATTTTATAGCATCAGGGTTTGTTTACTGACGCCCCTTCATGCGTCACAGATACATTTTATACATAGATCAAATCAAAACCACAACGACTTTTGACACAGTTTAAAAGAACAATTGTCTCCTATCTTCACAACAGGTGCTTCCTGTCACTGCCGGATGCTCGCAGCAGTTCTGCGACAAACTCTTGTTGCAACCCCAGCAAAACATGATTAAACTTTCACCTATAAATGATTCTCTAACTAAGTGTGTGTCTGCGTCTGTGTGCTAACCACAATTGCACCCTGTTTCACCTCGCGACTAGCTCCTGACCCCTCACCAGACAGAGAGACAGAAACCACTCTCGTATATGTAATAATCGAACTGAAACTATGGATATGACTTTTACTAAATAAATGTTTTAATCAAGAACCTCTACTAAACATAATAACTGTGTGCATAAGCATCTTAAGGCCTTCTTAAAGCTATCTGTTACATTGTTAAAGCAATGATCATACTGTTGCTTAAAGTAACTTCCTGCTTGTGCAAACTCTCTGCAAGCCTGTTTCCTGTCAGCCTGTGACTTTTAGCCTTTCTGAAAGACACACTGTTCTACCCCTGAATGCAATATAAACTCCAGATTATATTATTAATGCAATGGTAATAATGACAATTATTTAACAATAGCAGTAAAATAATTTCCCTTCTTGACACTCCCTCTCTTGACCTCTGGAACACCAGAGGTCACAATACATTGTGTCCTCACTCAGCAAATCAGACAACCTCATGTCATCTAATTGGTCCGGTAATAAACACCAGCTCCCCTTCGAGAACACTCCATGTGTAAGCTTAGGTTTTCTCGGTCCCTCTCTGCAGGCCTCGAGATCTCCAGGATCCTCGCCCCTCCTGTGGTCGCCGAGATCGATCTTCTGCAAAGGAAACAAAACACCTTTTCCTGCATCTCCCTAACTTATCCCATCTGAGACTCTTTAATCAAAAGCCTAATCCTAATTATCTTCTTAACTTATTGGCTTATATTTATGTACATTCTTCAACGTTCCTCATCCCTTTAAAACTCTTTAAGCCCTGCTTTTACGTCCGGTTGCTCGCTCTATTTTCCCTTATCTGATCATCAACATCCTGTGCACAAATTGTCGCTGCTGCAAGTTCCTCTACTCTAAAAGAAAACAACCACTTTAATCAATTAAGTTTAAGCATATAAGCAATTACTCCTGTATACATTTCATCATAGCTAAATGCTGCCTTAAAAACAACTCCTATGTGTTAACTTCATTTTAACCTCACATTTCCTATGTTATCACCTGTTTTGGTATAGCCTTTTTATTTCATTTTGCTCCTTTAATGTAACAATACCTTCTAATTCTAATTTATCAGACTTAACCAAAATATATGCTTTCCTTCCTCTTTGGTCCTTCTTTAAGTTCAGTTAAAAGCTAAATCAATTTGAGGCCTTTTGCCTGGAATCACTACTGTCATGTGTGTTTCTTAACTCTGTGTCTGTAAGCGTGTGCAATCCTTCATGAACTCATATTATCCTCACAGTAGATTGGCTAATCATAGCGCTAGCCAAAGGCTCGTGACCCTCCAGAGACAAATTTGAGCCACAACTCCTTTAAAAGCACAAAATGCAATATGTATAAAAATCATTTCTATTCATAAGCTCCCCCTTTATCCTAAAAATACCTCCTATGTAATATCTGTATGTGTAAGCCTACATTATAACCACTTCTTCTAAAGATCAAAAAATCAAAGCTGTTCTACCCCTTCAACCCTCACTAATTTTCCCTCTAAGATTTATTCACAGCTTTGAAAAACCAGCATTGTATCTTCTAAACAGGATTCAGTTCTGTCATGGTCCTGGGCCATGTTGGCCCAGTATTCTTGGTTCCTTGTATTTTCGCTCCTTATTTAGGCCAGGTTTCCTCAGGTGTCCTATTGTAGTGTTCCCTAAGTGTTTTTTCCCTCGGTCTCCCTGCGTCTCGTTTCTGGTTTGTGTTATTAGCTTACCCAGTTTTCCGGTTTCTTGTTTTTCCACCAATCCTGTTTTATGCCCACCGTTGTAAATAAATATTCACCTGCACCAGAGCTGCCGCCTTTTGGGTCCTTTTCTACAACTCCACACGGCTTGCCTCGCAAACCGTGACAAGTTCACTTTTAATCCTTTAACCTTAACTTAAAATAACAGTTTCAGTTTTACCATATCCAACTGATCAAAAACCCAAAAGGTCCTAAAATGATCCTAAATTATTAAACAATTAAATTAATAAACCCTAAACCCCCCTTTATCTTGATACATTTCATGTGTCAAGATACTATACAAAACTTAAAAATGCTCAGTTTCCCCACTCATGATCCAACCTATGTCATAAAATAAACTTAAAACAGAACAGTTATCAGTCATGTGTTTCTTCAATTAATGATAACTGAGTTACATCAAAAAATATTTCCCCTTTAGCATTTGGCATTCTCCCAACAATATACTATAATCCCATAACCTAACCCCACCTAATAAAACAAAACAGAAATTTTCTTCTGGTAAAAGCAAATTGTTTGTCCACATTTATTCATCCTCACTCACCTACAGTCTCACATTCACTCACATGCAGTCACACATTCACTCACATCCAGTCACACCATGTATTTGCTGATAGTGGAGCCTCCCGCACGATCAGATACTCCACCCTCAGCAAAATGAGCTCCGTCATTTTTTATTTTCCATAGGAAAATATTTCTTTATGCTTTTGGACTGGATTGACTCGCATAAAATCCTTTTTACAGGGACTTACGACCTTGATCAGTCCCCACAGGTAGCTTTCTCCTCAGCCAATTGTAATCTGGGAAGCCCACCTTATATTTGCTCTTCCCGATAATTTTCAGCGCCGTTATTCACTGTTGCAGGCCTGCTTAAAACAGAAATGAAAAATAGAGCTGATTGTTAGCTCATAAAAACAAAACAAAGTCACCTGACCGGTTTTCTTTAAGTGCACTGTTACAAAATAATGGGCCCAATTTTAGACATGTCCATGTTTCCTAAAACTCCCTCTATTTAAAACAAAAATAACGACAACAACCTAACTGACAGAATCAACCCATCACCACAACAACCTTAAACACACAAGTCTTGCCACCACATAATTTCGCCTCCTCAATACACCGAAAGTCTCATTAAAACCACACAATTTGCACACAAAAATCACCCCCTTATGCTCTTAAATTCAGCATAAGACCCCTTACGACATCATATAATCACTAAACTATAAATTTCCTACCCACATCTGCACTTCTCTTGTCTGCCATGCTTCCTCTCCTGAAAGTCACTTCCTCAGTCACACACATACAGGAAGCTCCTACGTCACCACTCACTCCAACTAATTTGCATACTGAGTCATCTCTCAATGAGTTGCTGTAACAACAGAAACATATGTTTAAACATCACCAACTCATTAAATCATTTTATTTCTTCCAACAGTGATCACTAGTGTTGATCACTCAGTACGAGAGCACTCCTAAGTCACTCTTTTTTAAACTACTTTAATCCCTTTTTTGTTTTCATAACTCCCTTTGTCATATGGCTTATTCTATTCCTCAATTACAAACTCAAATGTATTTTATTAAACATTCACACCATTGTATCATTCATACAAAATAGCAAGCTGTTCTTCATTGCATATGTTTGTGTTCTTAGCCAGGTTTAATCTCTATCTCTGCATTAAACTCCATGAGCTTGTCTTGTCTTTATAAGT